ATACAGAATGTATAGACAGCACATTTATATTTACCTTGCACATGGGCGCTACGAGGACGGCTCCATCCCAATAGGTGGGGTCCTTACGGTGTAGAAGCAGTGTTACCGCTCCTCCCATGGATTCACCATACAAGAACCGGCGCTTGTCCTGATTGTCTTCCCTCTCTGCAGATAATTAGAAGTACAAGATTGGATATTTTAATCCCATATGTGGGAACGCAAAACAATACATGTATGTAATGTTAAAAATTCTTTCAAATTGGCTTCTTTTAAGACTGATAAATCAGAGACCAAATTTATGCAACCAACCAAGCAGCCCTTCATCCTTCATCCGGCTAATTTGGCTGGTTGGGATGCATAAGCCCAAAATTTCATTAATAAAAAATAAATATTTCAAGTCATCTAAAATCAACTAAATAGAAATTCATACTTAAATTGAGTAGAAAATGACTCGGCAGCTAACTGATTAATTAGTTTCCACCTTGACATAGACCAACTTGATTTAGTAAACGTTTCGGCATTTAACTAAAATGCCGAACGAAGCTTACATAAAAATGGAATCACAACAGCGTGGTTTTCTAGTGCCATCATAACAAGTTCATTAATGATACATACCTAGCCCATAAATAATGTACCTTTTTTTGCTAAGTCATAACTCTTACAGCAATTATCAAGCTCTAAAATAAATACAAGTTCTAATTCAGAGATTTTTTAAAGTGATTATTTAATCGACGTTTTAGAGGCAAAAGTAATCAGTCAAATTAAAGTTCATAGAAGAAAAAATCTGAGAGATCTTGAAAGAACAGAATTTTGGCCAAAAAAAATATATGCTATTCTTCAAAATTGAAATTAGATATTAGTCATTGCATTCTTTATGCACATATAATTTACTTTACAAATAATTTTATGCAAGTCAATATTTCAAAAATATGTAAAATTAGCACCATACCATTATAAAATCACACAACACTTTTGATATAAGATAAATAGTATGGTGAAAGATGAAATTCATTCATGAATATTACCATATGAACCTTTCAGCATGAACGATTTCATTAATTCAAGAGAACATGTATAGGCATGTAGAGGATACCAATTACTCTGATATTAAATGGCCTCCAATTCGGATGGATATAGGTCAAATGTTCTGATGGCCCGCCGCATGGCCAATCTCCATAACTTCGAGCTTCTTCCAGAAGTCATTCCATTAATAAACTAATAAACCTTTCGTGTTTATTAAGTTTAATCAGAACATTAATCCTTTTCCCCAAATTAAAGTAAGAAATTCAAATATATTAATTAATAGTTATGAGTAGGCGCGATCAAGAAAAAACCATTTTTATGACCTAGTAAAATTTCAAAAGATACGATCAATCAATTTTGAGAAATCAATGCTGAGAACTTAATAAAAATTTCATTTTATGAAATTAATCAATTTTCAATGGTCAGGAGGGGCTCAGGGCGCGTTCAACGAGTTTGGTTAGCTAATTACTAACAAATTTATCAATTGATTCAACTAATAACAACCGAGGAAAAATAAATATGGTTTGGACTGATGAATGAAGCTCCTAACCGCATATTGATTTAAAAAAGCGGTCGCAATCGGCGACAATGTTGTCAAACTTGCTGATGTAACATCGAGCTCCCTTGGACCTCCCATGACCCTCATAATCGATGCCAAACACCGCATACCCTGCTGCCGCCAATCGCGTTCCGCACCCTGGAAACCAAATCAAATCAAATCACCACCGTCAGTTTCACATCACGCCATAAAAAAAACAATAGCTTATAAAATAGAGATCGGAATACCAAGGAAGCCAATGTATTCTTCTTTAGTATGATCTCTATCTTTTAATTTTTAAGAGAGTTGAATATTTGAATGAATATTAATTCGGTGATAATATTTCCGACCTTCGAGCAGGTATTTGCGTACACTCAACTGAATTTCTATGTCATCAGACACCTAAATACACGAATGAAAGGTCTATTTATGCTTATATTATGACATTTTCTATGTTCATTAGATGTAACCGCATCATATACATAAATATAAAAATTTAGGTGTAATAAATGTAAACACATAAGAATTAAATTGTTTGCATGTCTATTCCTTATTATCAATTCCTTCATAAACATAAAAATTAAAATCCTGAGATGTGTTTATTAAGCAAGATTACTAAAATAGTAAGAAAATAAAAGCATATACAAGGGAGGAGATAACAAAACAGCAATAGAAGAAATAATTAATGATAATAAACTTAAAGGAAAGGTGGAGGATAAATTTCTTTTTATATTTATACCCACATGTTTCTCTCAAACCCCCCCTCTCTTTCTCTCTCTCTCTCTCTCTCTAACAAGGTTAAGTGTGCATTCAAAGCACCTGCACAACTGAGGCAATCACTTTCACCAAAATAGTACGCTTTCACTGAAGGGCCGCGCCGAACTAAGATGGGAAGAAGCAGGATTTAATTCTATGAAATTGGAAAGGTCTTCGAACAGCAGCTTTTTAAAAAATTTATTTCGACAGGTAAGAAGAGTGCAATTTATCTATTAGTAAAATAATACAAAGTAAAACTGCTGGTTCTTACATCAAATTTATCATCTTTAAGAAGAGTAAAAGTCAATAGAAAACTTTAATATAGAGAGAGTTGGTCTAATACCTCTCATGAAACCGCTGCATTCCATGCCATAACCTGCAATTATAAATAAAAAAAATAATGATGATGATTTATAACATAATTAAATCTATTTTTTTTCCAAGAAAGGTGGGTTAGAAACCATGGCAAAGGAAAACGAGGGCTTTCGGTGGGGAAAAAAGTGGGAGCCATCTGCAGGTGAAGAGCTGAACACCTCTTGCGCTCTTAATATACTCCTGTGAAAAGAAGTAAGAGTGAGAGAATTCAATGAAATGGATCTTATTTTTACCTAAAAATCAATCAATAGGAATGAGAAATTTGAAAAGAAATATTGAATTTAAGAGAAATTTGAAGAGAAATCTCGCCTCTTCATATTCCACATCCATTATGCTAACTCGGCTATTCCGCAGAGCATCAAAAGGAGGAAACCAGAGAGTGAGTGAGAGTGTGCGAGAATTATAGCTGAATGGTTGGGGAGTTGTCGGAAGAAGAAATCTAAGGGAGAGTGGAGGAATGGGAAGGAGATATTGGGCACTTGAAGGAAATAGGGAGGAGCGGGGATGGCGTATTAGTTGGTAGTTGAACGGCACGTGGCGGTTGTGGCCATAAAACTGTTCTGCTGCCGTTTCAAAATTTTCTCCCAATTTTTACCAAAAAAAAAAAAAAAAAAAAAAAATTTCCCCCCAACACCAAAGAGAAAAAAACAAGAGGATAGAACATTTTAAAATAATTGAATGAAATAAATTTTGGTACTGTGAAGTTCAGCTCAGCAAGAGCATTTTTAACAAAAAAAAAAAAAAAAAAAAAAAGAAAAAAGAATTAACGGTGCAGGTAGGTTTGCGTTTCAAAAACGCAGTATTTATTCCATAAATATTGCTCTTTACGCATTCTTATTCATCTTCGTTTAATAATATGAAGGTACGATATCCCGTAGATGATTATGAAGTTAGAACTGAGATGAATAACAGCAAAGATTCTCAAAACAAAGTGCAACAAAATGGTCAAAAATGATCAAAAGAGCTAAAAAATAATTAAACACGTGTCATAATACATACGATTTCATCTAGAGTGTGCAAGATATGAACTAGCCAATATTGAGAAAATAAATGAGTGCTTTCTGGTTTAACAAAATGTTAGCACTTCATGAGTTGTTGATGTTAACGTGAGATATTTGCGTAGGATTTTTTAGACGTACATATTTATGTCTGATTTGTTGTTGTTAGGTGGAAGAAAAAAAATTTCTGATATTTGGGATGGAGTTTACGTCAGATGTACCTCGAATAATGTGATGCAAAAAACATTTTAAAACAACGGAACTTAGAATAGTGTTGCAATGGAATGTGAGTTGGATTTGCGTCTAATAAATCGACACAAAAGCTTTTGGGACATTAGAGACCACCTATTGGAGCAGAAAGAGGGGGTTATTTTCTTCAGCTATTGCTTCCACAATCGCTCCCCCACTTGTTCCTGCCACACCATATGCTCCATTAGCTCCCCCATCTACTGGGGCCACTTCTTCTGTGCCTCCTGCTCCCACCTGCTACTGCCATACCTTCTCCTCCACCTGTTGCTCCCCCACCTTCTGTGCCACCTGTTGTGACACCTACTGCTTGCTTTGACATTTGTTGCTGCCACACCTTCTTTTGTACCACATATTTTTTCAGCTCCAAGCACACTTCTGAGCCTACCCTTCAACTCCTGCCCTATGAGGGCACTTTTAATACTGATGTGTGCTTATAGGTTATTTTAACATTAAATTGTGTTCGTTCTTCATTTTATATATTTTTACGTAACTAATTTTCTTAAGCAGATTCATTAGATTGTGTACCACATATTCATAGGACTGCCGCGTCACAGAGATAATCCGAAGCAAATGTGATCAATTATATTTCTCTGAGAAGTAGAACCACGTTGTTACTTAGTACATGTGGCTCAGAGAATTTGAGGTAAGATCATGTATTTTGAATCAAAATGATAAATTTAATTTATTTGTTTATACTATCACATGGATTATTTTTTACATTGCAGAAGTTTTTAATCTGGCTGTCAGAGCACCATCACCGGATCCTAGGAATCATTGAGATTCAAGACAGAAATCGGTCTGGGAACATGTTCACCACAGCCCGCCAAAAGGGCGAGTGGCTTGTCTGGATCGTTGAGGAGCTCTAGGGTTAGTTGACCACAACCTGGGCCCCTCCTACTTTTGAGAGGAAGAGGCATACGAATTAGGCCACAGAGGGGGGCGAGGAGAACTGCGCTGCATATTGGAGGATCAGTCCCCCATACAGTGCACTAGAGGAGGTTAGTAAGATTCTTATAAATATGTAAAAATTCAAAGTTTGATGTAATTATGTGATTTTAACCAATCTTCCATGCTACAAAGGCCAAGGAGTTGAACTGTGATCCCACCATTGCAGAGCTGCATGTTCGAACCAATCGACACCCGAGGACGCAGTAGCGGGTGTCAGAGTACTCCCAGCTAGTGAATGTGAGTAAGAGGTTGTTTTTTTTTTAATTTTATATTGACTCTTACGATTCAAATTGAATAATAAAACTAATTTTAACTATGTAGGAGGAGTTCGAGCAGCTTCGGGAGAGGCACTTGGCCTCTCAGCCTAGATTTTCGTAAGTAACAGTCGTGGCCATTTCACTGCACTGTCCGAGTTTGAGCTATGGACACAGGCGTGGGAGATAAGAAGGGGAGGTCTATGACCTCGATGCGAAGGGCATAGTCTTCGAGGCTGAGATCTCCCGTACTTCGACAAGTTCCCCGAGCTTGTCACAGTCGAATCAAGATACTCTTGTTAGGCAAGGCACTATCTTGAATGAAGAGTTCTGTCAGTTGTGTGAACAGATGCTGCAAGGCCAACATAGGGTCAAAAATTCCATAGCACGTATGTCGAACAGTATAATAGATCAATAGGGCAAGCGACCGATGACATCAGCAGAGGAGGAGGAGGAGGGAGATGAGGAGCATTTTTTATATTCTCTTTTATTTTTCAGCATTTCTTTGAACTTATGTAATGAAATATTTGATTAATTTTATTGTTGATATTTGGGACTACTTGTAACATTACTTAACTTTCTACTATTGATACTTGTTTGAGCCGTAATCTGTGTTGATTTAACTGGATAATATGTTATTGTGATATGCATTGTTTGTTGCATATAGGCAATGTGAATGTAATCATTTATTTACTATTGATACTTGTTTGAGCCATAATCTGTGTTGATTTAACTGGATGATATGTTATTGTGATATGCATTGTTTGTTGCATGTAGGCAATGTAAATGTAATCATTTATATATATATATATATATATGTGTAACCTCAATGATAACTGACAAAAAAAAAGACGCAAATATATTACCGTGAGCCTTTTCGATGTAAACAAGACTTAAAATTATATTATCAACATCTGATTTATCCAAAAAAAAAAAAAAAAGACGTAAAATAGACACAAATCTAACAATAATCTCAATTATCATCCAATATAGCCGACCCAAAATCACCAAATTTCTGTAGTTTAGACTGTCATCATATCTAGCATAAAAACAACGGTGAGAGAGTTGTAGACCAATTGAGATAATTGTAATATCTATTCAAGAATACCCTTCCAAGCTTTATAAACATGACCAAGCATAGCAAAAGATTTCGTCGGTGAAAACAACTATCAAACTTTACATATTGACAGCCAAAAATACAACAACAATTCCAATATAGCTAAATTAGTTGGGTGGAAAAGTGTAGAGCATTTGAAAATCAGCAGCCAACAAAGCCACTCATCACAAACAGAGATAAAAGAGTAGCCCATGCTATATAAATACTAAAATTAGTTTGTCAATCATCAAATAAGATCATTTTATAAGGTTTTAGATTAATTAAGGCCATTTTTCAAACAGTTTTTTTTGTCTTTACATTCTTCGAAAAAAAAATAATAATTCATTTCATAATTTGTTTGATCGTGGTCATCCACTTCTAGTGTTTCATATAAAAAGCTATTTTTTTTTTGTTCGTTTCGAATGATTACTCTTATTACTTTTTTTAAGTGAGCGAGCTCCGTTGTTTCCTTTGCCAAGAATACAATTTTAAAACTAACCCACATCCTTGTGATGTATCCATGTATTATATCAAATATTGGCTTGAAATAGTCAGTGCTAAAAAAATGCCATTTGCAAACTACTTCAATATTTAGGACATTCATTTTATGATCACATTTTGTAGGTTAATTTTTTTGGTAGAGGAATACATGAATTTATCCATAAATCTATGACTCCTTTTGTTTTTAAGAAAATAAATCTAAGTATTTCAAGTTTTGTATTTTCTTTTTAGATTTTTTAGTAAATGTAATAGAAATTAAAATTCTAGGCTTCATGAACATATGGATATCTTACTTTTATATTGGAAGAGCTATAGATATTAGCTTAATTCAAGAATATCTGATTGTTATTTTCATGGAGAAAGCGCACAATAAACAAATTATTGGTGTGAGAAATTTAAAGTAATGTTTTTTTTTTTTTTTTGGTAAAATAACTTTTAAACATACTTTTTTAATTAATGGGTGGTGAGTTTTTTTATTGTGTATCCACGGTAGGTCTCAAAAGATTTCAATCTAAATGATGGGATGCATATTTCGAATAATAATACACTAACTCAAATGATAGAGATTATCTAAAAATGAATTTATTCACTCGGATGAAGAAAACATTCAAGATTTACACGTTTACGAACCATGGATATTTCTCCTACTTTACGAGGGTAAGATTGAGTTAATTTTAATTTGGGTCTCACTACAGGAATCAAGTAAATTTGCGTCGGCAAAATCAGATGCAAATTGAAATAAAATCTGACAATATTTTAGGTTTATAGTTATAGTCAGATTTGAGTCTGATTTACATTCCATTTTTTTCGTGAATAAATATGAGAACGGTAATGTTAATTCTGTCAATTTTACATCAAAATATTTCAACGTAGATAATTTGCATCGATTTTTGCATTGTCGTAGCATCATATTGGTTTAGGCCACACGTGCGTCAAATTTTGCATCTAAAAACATTGGACGATAAAGAGTATCGTTGGATTACCATCGAACTTGTTGCAAATAATATCGTTGAATGACAGAATATTATTGTCATTTTAGCATCAGATTTTTGGACACAAAACGGATTTAAATCTGACGCAAAACTGTACCACAGAAAAAAAAAAAAAACTCAGAAGATCAATTATATTTTCACAACCTACACACAACACATAATCCACATCACATACTACATTATATCCAACCGTATCATAGATCGGTTATGAAAATATCATTAATAAAATGGAAGATACTGCCGCAAATCTTCTTAAATAAGAATAGCAAAGTTAACCAGAAATTCAACAACAAATGTTCAAAATAATTTACAAATAAAATAAATAAAAAAAGACTATTCATCCTCCTCTACTGATGTCATTGGCCGCTTGCCCAGGCAATCTGTTAAAGTTTCCACCATGTGCATTATAGAATCCTCAATTTTATGCTAGCTTTCTAACATCTCCTCAAGCAACTCGTGGATCTCTTCCTTCATTGCAGCCATCTGCCTGGCAA